CCAAGTACGATCTCACTATTGTTCACTTTCCTTCCACCTTGAATCTCACTTCTACAAATTACCTTGAATGGAAAACATAAATCGAAGCCCTCCTTCACGGTTTCAATCTATACCAACTCATTGATGGAACCCATCTCCTTTCACAACCAATCACAGCTGCCGACGGAACAGTTACACCTCATGCCGACTACCCTAAGTGGTTCCATCAAGACAAAATACTTTTTGGAGCACTTGTTGGCAGCTTATCTCCCCAAATTGTCCCTCTTGTGACAAATGCTTCGTCATCTCGAGAAGCATGGCAAACCCTAATCGGAACTTATGCTTCCACTTCACAAGGTAACATTAAGAAACTTCAACATCGCCTAAAACAAATCACCAAAACCTCTACCCAAATTGTCACTGAATACATGCAAAGCATCAAAGACTATAGTTGATGAGCTAGCAATCCTAGGCAAGAAACTTGATCAACAAGATATGATTGACGTTGTTATAAATGGGCTAGATCAATCCACATATAAACCCATTCTAGACGATGTTCACGCAACAGACTCACCCATTTCTTTGAATGAGTTGCATGAGAAACTCATCAATCATGAATTAACTCTTGCACAACAAATCTCTTCACCAAATCTCCACCAACTTGTCATAACTTTCTATGCAAATCATCAACCACACCGCAAATCATGGCCTACTCGCCAAGGCAAACCCTAACCGGAACTTATGCTTCCACTTCACAAGGTAACATTAATAAACTTCAACATCGCCTAAAACAAATCACCAAAACCTCTACCCAAACTGTCACTGAATACATGCAAAGGATCAAAGACTATAGTTGATGAGCTAGCAATCCTAGGCAAGAAACTTGATCATGAAGATATGATTGACATTGTTATAAATGGGCTAAATCAATCCACATATAAACCCATTCTGGACGATGTTCACGCAAGAGACTCACCCATTTCTTTGAATAAGTTGCATGAGAAACTCATCAATCATGAATTAACTCTTACACAACAAATCTTTTCACCAAATCTCCACCAACTTGTCATAACTTTCTATGCAAATTCTCAACCACACCGCAAATCATGGCCTACTCGCCAAGACAATACTACTATTGGTCTCTTACCTACACCATCAAACCAATCCTCACACGCTACCGGAAATCATCCCTTTATAGGAAAATGCCAATGGTGTCACAATAAAGGACAATCTCTTAACAATTGATTTACCTTTAAGAAGCTCATTCCAAATATTTATATGCCTTCTAATTCCAGGAATGTGCAGGTCAAAAATGCATAGGCTCATCTCATGACACCACAACAAACAACTTCATCAAATACATCCAACTGGCTATTTGACATTAGCGTCTGTTTTCATGCTACAAATTGGAACGCTCGTAGATCTGAGCTAGTCACTTTAGAGACAATGAGCATCAAAAATGAGTTATTGATGGAAGATTAATTAGAAGGAGTAATCTTAACCAAGTGGTAGAATATGTCACTGTAACACCGTAAATTTCAAGACAAATTTTTCATTTAAAATAATCATTTTATTCTTAGAAACACTTGTTTAAAATCTCATTCATAGTCGATTTACAAAACATAACTCCATTTTTACTTGCATAGAAAACCAGTATCCTCCAAAATATAACTCTTTCTCTGGTGTGTACAATCAAGCCGGTGTCGTCCCGTGATACTGAAAGAAACCTGAAAAACATCAAACAAAACACTGTAAGCACGAAGCTTAGTGAGTTCCCCAAAATACCACACATAACACATAATAGCCACTCGAGGCTATAACTCTATGGGTCCGTGCACCCAAACTCTGTGAACCCTCAGGTTCTAACTCTGGGAACCTTCCGGTTCCAACTTTATAAACATGTACAGCATAAATCACATAGAAATAATGCAGTACAACACATCACGTACATATAGCATACAAATAATCTAATCACATAACTCTGGTTACCTACTCAAGGTAAAGTATAGTGAGAAGACTCACATGGCAAGCAGAAAGCAGATATCCCCACACTTAAATCTCGAACTCGCCACCGCCTTCCACGTAAGGCAAATACTCTCATGAATACAACTCTCGAGACTAGAATAAATCCTCTCATAACACCCTCTTATGGGTAAAAGACTATTTTACCTCTCTCTTGGCCCAAAGGCCACATCGCTGACCAAACCCTAAAAGTCAACGGTCAACCCTTGGTCGAAATCAAAGTCCTCAGTCCAAGTCAACCCCTGACTGACCCTACTCGCCGAGTCAACCCTGTGACTCATCGAGTTCCCATAATCAGAACTTCACTCAATCTGCGACCTAACTCGCCGAGTCACCCCGAGACTCGCCGAGTCCAACAACTCTGAGTCCACTCGCACACGACTCACCGAGTCCTCCCTCGACTCATCGATTCTCGACTCCACCAGAGAATATTTGGGACTCTTCAACAAGACTCGCCGAGTCCAAATGGACTCGTCGAGTCCAAGGCTATCTTCAACCTACTCGCCGAGTTGTTCTTTTAACTCATCGAGTTCCAGGCCATCTTCAAGCAACTCGTCGAGTCGACCCATGTGACTCGCCGAGTACCACCGTTCTGAATCCATTCAGAGGGCACTCCAGGCCATGCAATTGATCCAAAACATAGATTTTAGCCTACTACAACCCATCCATCACGTAAAGTGGCAAACTTTACGTGAATCCAAAGAGATCTAAGCCGTTTGCACATTGGGTTAGGATTTGGGACAAGATGGCTCCATCAACCACTCACAAACAGGGACTTTCATGCACTCTAGACCTTCTCCCTTCCAGATCTGAGGTAGCAACCTCAGATCTAACCTCTAAACTCCAATACATCCAAAGATACGATCTCCAACACCCCCAAAATGATGCATCTAAGAAATAGCAGCTCAAAAAAAACGAGATATTACCTCAAAGGAATGCTCCAATTGAAATGATACTCGAATTCAAACAAAGCCCCTTGCTCCAAGCCTTCAATCTCCTAAAATTCCTTCACAAATACATTCTCCAAGCTCCAATCCATCCAACAATGGTGCTTCTTCGTGATTTAGGGTTTTCTGGGGCTCAAGGGGTGATAAAGAGGCTGGGAGGGAAACATAATGATCTTTATATAAGGCTCAACCCCGAGAATTAGGGTTTTCTCCACTCAGCGCTTACTCGCCGAGTCCATTACACTGACTCGCCGAGTCAGCCACTTAACACGCGACCAAGTCGCGACTCTACTCGCCGAGTCCGCACATGGACTCGCCTAGTCACTCTTTCCCAATTTACTCTTTAGCCCTTCAACTCTACTCTTGATATTTCGGGATGTTACATTCACAAGGGTTTCGTACATATAAAGAATGTCGAAACCAAGTTATAACGAAGAAGTTATGGCTCGTCGAAGTTTTGCAACAAAAACGGCACGACACTACGCGACGTAAATAATGAATTTATGATATAGGACATTTTGGCCTTAGTTATCTAAACAAAAGTTATAGTATACATTAAACCGAGAACGTTCATAAAAAGAATGCCCAATCTGACTTCGTATGAGGAAGTTATGATTTTTCTAATATTTGGCCTAGCAGTACACGACCCGAAACTTGAATTCTAGATTGAGCGATTTTTGGCCAACGCGACCTAAATGAGGATTGAAGATCTTATTAATAGGAACTGAACGACAAAAAGACAGATGAAAACGGAGTTTGTATGTTGAAGTTATGAATTTTATGCAGACATTTAACGGTGTAGTCACCTTCTATTGTTAAATTTAACATCAGTCGAGAATTAGCCAATGGAGTCAAAATGAAAGTTGTAGATCTTATTTTTACCTATGTGTGGATATAAATAACGTCAAAAACAGAGCTTGTATGTGAAAGTTACAAATTTTAGAATTCAGAAGTGTGTTGTGCGAAAATGGGTAACATGGCACAATCTTAGCCATTGCTTTCTCCCCAAGTCTTGCCACCAGATGGTGACATGTGGCACCAAGTTCAGCCATATTTTACCCTATAAATAAAACCTCTCTCACCCTCATTTTCTTCACACCTTTCCCATTCTTTCTTCTCTTTACACTCTATCTAAACCTACCAAAAACTCCCCTAGCGCTAGAAGAAAGCCTCGAAGCACTCGATGGCTCTGAGAAGAAGAGCTTTCGGCTTGGAAGTTCTACAGCTGCAGAGCACGGCTTCCAGCCAAACCCCATCATTACTACTCGATCGTTCACCATCCAAATTTCTTCTCCAACGTTCAACGATCATCCAGATTTTTTCAATTAAATCATCGATCAACATCATCTAGTGTTGATCAATCATCCATCTTCGTCAAAAACACGTTCATCAACATCATTCAACAGTAGACCAAAAAAATTTCGTTTTTGGTTCTTTCAGTCCAACCTTCAGATTTTGTTTTTGGTTCTCCGACGTTCAGCGATCATCCAGATTTTTTCAATTAAATCATCGATCAACATCATCTAGTGTTAATCAATCATCCATCTTCATCAAAAACACGTTCATCAACATTATTCAACAGTAGACCAAAAAAAATTTGTTTTTGGTTCTTTTAATACAACCTTCAACTATGCTTGAATACGATAATATCTTCAACATCTACGATTAATTTTACTCCCAGTGTCATTAGATCAATATCATTGATAATCAACAGCATTTTCACTTCATATCATTCATTCAACATTGATCATCAAACAAAACTTCGAAATTAAGGTTAGAAAAACATCAAATCATTTTTTTTTGAAAAATTTCATATAATTCTCTATCAATCTACTATTTTGTAAGTTTTAAATAGTCAAAGTATCATGTTTTTAGCATTTTTAAGAAAGCTTACTTGTATGCACTCCAACTATTTGATGAAATGCATAAACTAAATTACCACGTTATATTCACATATGAATATGTTTTCGCACCTTAATCAATATATGATTACTAAAACACAAAACAAATATACAATTTTATATGTTATTCATATGTGAATAACATATAAAAATTATATATATTTGTGAATATATCTTGTAATATGCATATGTTAATATCCTGTGTAATATTCATATGTGAATAAACTGTGTAATATTCACATATGAATATATCATCTAATATTCATAAGTGAATATATCATCTAATACTTAATAAGTGAAAATACTATGTAATATTCACAAGTGAATGCATCGTTTAACATTTAAATATGAATATCCTGTATCATATTCACAAGTGTATATATTATATATTATTCATATGTGAATATATTGTGTAATATTCATGAATGAATATATACCATGCAATATTTAGATGTGACTAGAATGTGTAATATTCAAAAGTAAATATACCATAAAATATTCACATGTGAATCTACCATATAATATTCATATGTGAATATACTATGTAATATTCATTTGTGAATATACCATGTAATATCACATGTAAATATACAATATAAACAACATATATCATATAATATTCACATATGATTATACATTCATATGTGAATATACCATGTGATAATTAGAATGTGATAAATCGCTATTATTATGAACTGAAAGTATGATTTTAACATTTTTTATATGTATTCACATGTTTTCAGGCATCGTTCTAACTCAATAAAAGAATAACATTTCAATCAATGGTTGGTTCATATCTCAGTAGTTGACGATTGGTTGACGTAATTGAGAAGATATCATTGACGAAGACAATATATTTTTA